GTTCTGAGTGTGGTGAGATACTGGAACAAACTCTGTTACGATAATTGTATGAGTGGCTTATCATCAGTGACCTTTCCAATTGTGATCTTCGCAGGTTCTTTCTTGTGATTGGTTATTGGGAGTTGTGTCAGAGAGTGAGAAACACAGCGTGTCTTCTCCCCACCTGAGCATGTATGTCTTCCGCTGCTTATTTTCACCTGTGTGCAGTGTGGACTATGTCTCCTCTCTCCCCTTCTCTTATGCATGCATGGGCATGTGTGAGATTGTCTGTGTGTGAGTGGCAATAAAATTCGTCAGGCAACCAAGTTCATAATAATGAAGACTTGTGCTCATTCTGGTGTGAACACACTTGCGTCTCATGGTGTGAAGACTTGTTCTTACCATGGTGTGAACACACTTGCGTCTCATGGTGTGAACACACTTGCGTCTCATGGTGTGAGATGCATGCTGTGAACACACTTGCGTCTCATGGTGTGAGATGCATGCTTTGAACACACTTGCGTCTCATGGTGTGAAGACTTCTGCCATTGTGAGATACAGAGCAGAGAGAATATGTGGAGAGGACTTGTTCTTACCTGGACTTCGCAATTCGTGTTGTTGATGATGAGCGCGGACAGCACCGGGCAGATAACTTCTGGTAACGAAGGGGACGTGATACTTTGTTGAGCGTTCAATCCAGGAACTCTTGACTCTCTTATTGGATACTGGCTATAATGATTGATTTTGTTTTATGGTCAACGACATCTACTCCTTTTCTGCAGTCTGATGGTGGTGACGTCATTCTGCTTAATGTCAGACTGCGACATGTGTGACAATGCAAGGTGACATGTGCACTCTATCGTAAGTGTAGCAGGGAAGGCTCAATGCATACGTAGAGAGAATACACTGTACGGTGTATTCTGTCACTTTGCTTCCGTGAGTCTTCCACTGCGTTTTCTTTTCTCCTCGTTGTGGCACTCTACTTCCTCTCCCCTTCCTTCTCTACATGTATGGGCGTGTACGGGAGTCTATGTGAGTGAGGGTTGGCGAAATTGCAGCGGACAATCATGTTCATAACACATCAATGACCGAGAGTCTGTGTGTGTCGTAGAGTTTGTGTGAGTGTGTGTGACAGATTGTTCACTAATTCTCGGTCTGTGTGTGTTGTCTTATGCGCCGCACGGTTGAACCACCGAAGCAGAATGGGCGAACCAAAATTTGCATCTTCCCAAGCATTCAGTCTACAGTGTACGTCGTTGCTTTCGTCAGAGGAAGGTATCGTTGTCTGCGTACCTTGAAACTCAAGCCTGCCCTCACTCTCTTGCTCCTATATCCCATGTCCTGCTCTCCCTCTGTTTATTTTCTTCTCCCTACAGCATGCACACTCCCAACTAAAACACACTCATGACGTATGCGGTGGTGACGGGAAGTGACAATCATACTTCTCGTGTTTGTGACATTCCGTGACTTTCTGTGACACACGAACACACTTACACAGACACACTTACACAGACACAATGACACAGACACACTTACACAGACACACGGACATACACTGACACAAACATACACATACACAGACACACTTACACAGACACACGGACATACACAGACACACGGACATACACTGACACGGACATACACTGACACAAACACACTTACACAGACACACGGACATACTTACACAGACACACTTACACAGACACACTGACACAGACACACTTACACAGACACACGGACATACACTGACATGGACACACTTACACAGACACACGGACATACACTGACACGGACACACTTACACAGACACACTAACACAGACACACTTACACAGACACACGGACATACACTGACACGGACATACACATACACAGACACACTTACATAGACACAGGGACATACACTGACATGGACACATACACAGACATATACATACTCACACACACGGACATACACACGCACAGACACAGACACACGGACATACAGATACACAGACACACGGACAAGAGTTTGTGTTGCGGTACTGAGCGCTTGAACTCAGAGCACTGATGTGGAAAAGCCACACTGACATACACACGCACAGACAGACAGACACAGACACATACACACACACACACACATACACACACACACACACACACACACACACACACACGCACACATACAGATACAGACACACACACAGACACAAACACACACACACACACACACACACACACACACACACACGATCTTGGCGGAGGACTATTCCGTCTTAGGTAAGTTGTACTCTGCCCTCCATGGCTTTATGAATGAATGGTTCCTGGCCCTGTGATACGTACAATGCTTCACACGTTTGGGAAGCTGGGGGTGTCATGGTCGCTTTGTCTTTTGTTGGGTGGTCAGCGTGTTTCTAGATTCGGGGTTGGGGGGGAGNTTCGGGGTTGGGGGGGAGGGGGGGCGGGGTGGTTGGGGGGAACATGTCATCGGACCGCGGCACACCCCCTACCACTGTCAGACACAAATGGGAAGTAGTTTGGGCGGAGAGTGAGAGCAGGGTCGAAGGAGTTGACTACTGCATACCGGATTCATTTCGATCTCATTGATTCGACGAAAAAATGGCACCCAGTAGCCAACCATCGTAAGATATCCGTGTACTGACTGGCAGCGTCGAATGACCGCATACTTCCAACAGAGGGACACACAAACAGCATTAAACAAACCCTCACGGAGCTTTAAATCATCATTTTGCCGTTCCACTTACACACAAGTAGACAAAAGAACAACCATCATGTCGATGTCAGCGGCGCAGACGAGGACAACTCTTCAAGAGGTGATGCAATACGCGGAGGAGGGCATCCACTACGATGACGATGGGGAGCTTGAACTATTCACGGAGAGAGTGCCGAGTTACTTCGGTATCAGAGTGAATATCCGTGCAAGCATCGCTGCGAATGGAAAGGAGTCTCTCAGAGCACGGATGCTATCGGCACGGTTCACTGAGGCGCATGATTTGCGTGTAGACAACAGTGTTGATACCAGTGCATACAGTTTGAGAAAAGTGGTTGGTTGGATGTGCACAGAAGGGATGTCTGATGAAGGGGACGTAGATATGACAAAGCACCAGAAGGGTGGAACATACATGCCAGCCGATTTCAAGCAGATGCTCATGACACAAACGAAGAAATGGGGAATGTTTGTTGAAGATTGTAAGGACAAGATGAAGAACGGTGCAACAGAAATTTTAGTACTCTCGCGTTTGAAGGACATACCGCAAGCTCCCCCGCAAGACTTCCAAGATCTTCCTGTAATTATTGCAAACGGGGTGAAGTATGTTTTACTCGACCAACTGGTGGATTTCATGACAAAGAAACATGACGATCGGAATGTCATACATGAGGCATTGCATGATGTGACAGAGCAAGCACTGGCGGGCAAGGACCACATTAACTACAAGGTGCGGAGTGTGGAGGAGGATGTCGTATGTGGTACTCCATTGTGGGATGGAATATTCATGGCGGCTTTGCATCGCCTCAGCATTGCGACTTCTGAGGTGGACAGAAAGAGGTCAAGGGAAGAAGGATGGAAGTTGGTGGCCAGGGAAGCAAATGTTGCACTTCATGCAGCAGATGAACACACTTCACCAGGGGAAGAAATTGTGAGAACTGTCTCCATCGTGCGTTCTCCAATAAACACAATGTCCATGGAGGAGGTAGAAGAAGAAGATGTGTTCAATAAGTGGACAATGACGGAACAACAACGGGAACAAGGGTTCGAAGACTCTTCTTTATCGATCGATTTCGAATATGACATTGAAGAAACAAGAGTGAGGAACAATGAAAAATATGCGAGGTTGCCTAACTATGAGGTCGAAGTGAGTGGCAGCGATGTGAGCAGCGACGAGGAGGGTGAGGAATATGATGCCTACTGGGATTTGGAAGCAGGAGGAGGACAAGCGTCAAAAGGGTGGGCACATGCGATTCTTAGGTTGACACGTGTATTCTCTAATCCCCATTTACTGTTGCGTGTCGTGCTAAAGGACGCAACACCTTAGAGCGCACTCCAGTATGCAGCACTGACGCCCATTATGAGATCATGCTCGAACGGAAAAAGATGGTCACGTATGGCGAAGTCATGGTTTGTCTTGGTCAACAGAGAGGCTATCCTCGCAACATCACTTACGTGGGGTCTGGACCTTAGTTGCCTCCTGCACGGGGTTATAGCCAGCGCTTCTGGTGCTACATTGCACCCGGCACTATCAACAAGAGAGGAAATACTTTGTGCTCACACATGGCTTGACTGCGCATCAGAGACCATGGTGGACAACAGTGATACAGACACTGCTAGTGGACAACGTTGAATGCAATTGTTCGATGCACAGGCTATGCATATCATGATTAATTCTGCACAACGCATTTACGGAGTATGTGCAATATTTTAGGTGTTCGAGTGTTCGACAACGGTGTACATGCTCTCTCTCTCTCTCTCTCTCTGCGAGGCTACAGCCTGCAATGAGCCTCTTCGACCCCAGGCATAAATGTGGGGGCCCCACGGGGTGATTGGAGTTGCAATTCTGCTTTTGGTTGGAGGTCATGACTTTTTGGCTTTCATGTTGATGATGTGGAATGCCTGTTCAAGTTTGCTATTGCTCAAAGTATACACTGTGTGTGTGCGTGTATTGTTAAATCTCTTTAATTAGTGTTCCTTTCAATGACAGCAGAAAAATATTTTTCTTTTATAAATGTTCCAACAAATCCGCAGTTTTATAATTGTTTTTCTTTTTTAAATGCTCTCTCTATCTATCTATCTATCTATCTATCTATCTATATATTTATTTATCTATCTATCTATCTTTGTGTGTGTGTGTGTGTGTGTGTGTGTGTGTGCCACGTGTGTATGTGTGTGTGTGTGTGTGCGCTCAGGAAACGAGGATGTGACACTTTAAAAAAAAATGTGGCATGCCTCGAAGTAAAAAAAAAAAAAAAAAAGGCGAAACATTCACCAAAATTCTTGATTTTAATACCGCTTGGAATGTTGTCGTTGTCTTGGAATCTGTCAGCAGTGCACAACAGCGGTGTTGAGTCGGCGGGAGGGAGAGGGGGGACGGGGGTGGGGGGAGTGTCAAAGGAACTCATGAATTTCACACTGAACGCGCATCCTCCATCTGCGATAGGTCTTAAGTGACATCACTTTGTATTTCTCGCACGTAGTTGCAATGGATGGCGCGAGTCACGTGTGTGACTGTGGGCAGTCTTTCATGTCATTACGGACGATGAACTCACACCGAGTGCGGGCATGTCCGTCCACTGTGGAAGAGAGGAGCACGACACAAGAGATAGTTGGGGAGATTATTGGTGGACCATCAAATAGTGGCCCCATTAATCTGGTTAGTGAGGAAAGCGAGGAGGTTGAGCCCCCTCCCAATGTAGAAGCAGACTGCGCATCCGAAGAACAGCAAAAACAACACACAGAGGCATTCGACAGCTCCCGCAAACTTGCAGCATTGATTTTCTCATGTAAGGGCGGTGTGGGCATGTCCCAAACTGACGTTGACTGTCTGTTGTCACTCCTAAAAAATCCTAGATTTGACCCAAGAAATATCACATTTCGTAACAGTCGTGAGTGTCTGACGTGGGCAAGCCGCCAGGCAGAGGCTGCAGGGTGGCAAGAGAACAATCTACGCAGTGATGATTGGCCAGAAGAAGCGCACGTCATTTTATGGTACCGCGACTTACGCACAACGTTCACTGACCTTGTATGTGTTGCACTGCACAACGTTGAAACGATTTCTTGCCTCGAAATAGAACCTCCCGGGGAGGGGATCAACATATGTGGCTCTCGCACGGGCCAGTTGAGTCACCATGTCCAAAGTGTTATCAGAGCGGAGAAGGGTGTGGACACGAATGGTAAAACACGTTATGTCATCCCTCTGTCTCTGAATTCAGACAAGACTCATGTAGACGTTCGTCAAAAGCAGTCAGCGTATCCTCTGATGATATCAATAGCCGATCGCGCATCGGACGCCACACTCCTTACATATCTTCCTGTGCTTCAACACCTGCCACGTGACAAGGGCTGGGGTCTGCACTCCACCGCGTTTAGAAAACGGAAAGCTGTGATATTGCATAAAGCGTTGTCAATAGTATTGCGGTCCGCAAAGGAGGCATCCCATGACGGTGTGATAGTTACAACGGAGAGGTTCGGCGAGATAACAATCCACCCTTTTGTCATGAACTATATATACAGGACTATCCGGAAAGGTGTGTCCTTGCAACTGTGAAATTCGATGTTTGTAAAACATACACAGTGTCCAAAGACGATTTCGACGTAATCGCCGATTTCACCAACTGCAGGAGATCGCAGACGCTAGAGACGCAACTTGCTCCGAACTGCTTCAACAATAGGGACATTGATATTCGTCGTGCCGCAGAGGCACGAATGTCAGAATTGAACATGCATAAGCATGTTCAAGAGAACGACCTTTGGGGATTCTACAGGGGTCCGCATGGTGACGATCCTCAACTAGATTACCATCTCGCTTTGCAACCGGACGGTATACACACCATTGAACACGACATTTTCTTGCATATGATAGATGCATTCAAGGCAACAACTTTTAAGAAGTTGTCGGATATCGCCCAAACCGAGATATTTCACGAGATGGATGCGAGGTTGCAGAGCATCAGTGAGAGATGTGTGAGGACATACCCGCAGCTCGTGTTGCCCGTGGCCACAGGTTGTGATTTCTTTTCAAGAGAAGGACGATTTGAAGTGAAGCAAAATCGGTCTGTAAAGACAGTTTGCGTGTTTATTATTTGTGATATCATCTCACGTGCGACAGACAAATCAATTTCCACTTGTTTCATCAAACTCATGGAAATGTACATACACATGTTTCGTAAGTCGACCCACACTGCGACTTCTCTCGATGTATGTAACGCATTGATAGGTGATTTCATAACGAGTATAAAAACGAAGATGGAAAAATATCAAATCTCGGATTGGAAAATTCCGAAGTTGCACGACCTTATGCATCTGAGAACATGCATAGAGCGATCCGATGTCCCCGACACCTTCGCAGCTGATGTGTGGGAGCATCATTATCAGAGGTTCTGCAAACAGCCATATCTGGCATCGAACAAGCGCAAGGCTGCTTCCCAGATGGTGAATCATGTCCGACGCTCATTAGCTTTGCAGGATGAGATGGAGATTGTGAGAAAACGAAGAAAGAGGTCGGCAGAAAATCGGTCATCCGTGACAGACTGCATGGCCACCGGAATTAATACCCTCGCAGCGCGCGACACAGTAACTGTACAACTCCGGTGGTTCCAGATGGATGGTGTGCATCTGCCAAAGGTGGAAGGTATAAGCAACGCAACGTTGAGAATACTTGACGAGTTTCCCTGCAGAGACGATTTTCGAGCTGCGCTCACGACGTTCATGACAGAGAATGACTGTCAACCTCCAGCTGATGACTAAGTTACACACTCGAACACACTTTACTATCGCCTGCACATACGACGGGACGCACAGGGGCGCAGGCGTTCAAACGGCAAGAGCTTCACCACAGTTCCATGGGAGAGTCGTGCACAGCGATGTTGCAGTGAGAGGTGGGAATGACAACATATGGTATGCATCAGTAGTCATGTTTTTCGTCATGAACACTTGCACAGGGGGTGTTGCGGAGATGCATAGGTGTTGTTTTGTGCAATGGTACAAAGAGGTGGATAGCGAAAGGGAACACACAATAGGTTGTAAGAAGTTGCAATGGGAGAAGGTCAACGGTCATCAGCACAGTAGCGTCATAACGATTGACACCATCATCGAGACCGTTCACATTGTTCCTCGTTTTTGTAAACCACAGTGGGGCTCGAAGAAGCATGCAAAAGAGAGGGAGGACAATTTTTTGTTGAATAGATATATACTCTAGAAGTGTACATGGAATTACWMCAAAAAAAAAAACCAAAATTTCAAAGGCTGAACGTTTTTCCGAGAATAATCTGTGGTGGGCGCAGTCGCAATTTTATACTACAGCATGCGTTCAGCTTTTGTATTTTTTTTACACACACACAGAGAGAGAGAGAGAGAGAGAGAGAGAGAGAGAAGCGTTTGAACGACAATAGTAATTTTGTAAAGATGGAGTTCAAATATCGGTAGATTTTTAAAGTGGCGAGATTTGTATTTTAGACCGGCACGATCGTGCAAGATGGAACAACACGGTTGTGAGACTGTTTTTTTTCGCACGGATTAGGTTTTGTTACACCGTTGCATAGCTTCTATGTCATCTTACACATCAATGTAGAGAAAGGTGCATCAAAGCAGTGTATATGATGAAGGTAACTTCAGAGTTGACTACTGTGTGCACATGTATGGTGAACGTGGACTGAAGAAGTGGCAGGTGGCACGCACTAGCCGACCTATGTCTATACTTGCGTACTATAAAAGGTCATGACGTCAAGGAAACCGTCATTCTGCCTCGCAGTACTCTCGTTCTCTCTCTCTCTCTCTCTCTCTCTCTCTCTCTCTCTCTCTCTCTCTCTCTCTCTCTCTCTCTCTCTCTCACACACACACACACACACACACACACACACACACACACATATTGTCGAAAGACTTACCACTAAAGCCAAGTAATTGACAAGATGTATGTCATGGCCATGTGACTGTCATGTGGACAGGAAATGTTGAGGTCAAGGTAATGCCAAAACGACACTCTGCACTGGAAGAAGTGGCAAGACAGCAAGCGAAAAAATAAGCGTTTTCAGGAATTGTGGAGAAGCCGATTTAGACTGACACTGCAACCTTTGTCCATCAGCCGTGACATTTGTTGTATGACGGAGAATGAGGGGTGTTCAGATGAGCGAATCTTACAAAATGAACGAGGGGGTAGATGGCAAGGGTTGTATCATGGGCTCAAAAGCGACCGACAGTTCAGAAACAGCAAGGAATGACGAACAGTCATGTAGACCACGTGTCACCGAACCGTTGCTCCCATTGAGCAGTGAGAGATCAGTGAAGCGATGGAAGAGGATACTGGAGGACCCGTGGTATGCGGAAATGTACCAGATGATGACCACAGATA